AACAAATCTTCACAATCTATTTATCTGGATTGTAACTTCCAAAGTCTAAGTGTTTCCTTCATAGAGTTAACATATTTGATATTGTTATGACTGGTGGTCGACTGTTATGACTGCGTCACCAATTGTTATATCTGTCATCGCAATCGTTTATCACTTATAATTATAAGGCGAGGAAAAACTACAGTTCCCATGACGCGAAATTACGAACACAAAGACTGGTATAAGTGAAGATTTGTTAATCTCAAAACACGACGACGACGACGACCCTAGTCAAAAATACACTCATTTATATATTGATTCATACACCCAGTTTGATTGATAATTAGAACAAAATGACATATATGAACAATACTTACAGCTATGACAAAGCACATGCTGCATGTCATGTTGAGCATAGTTCAGGTCAATTGAATACAATAATATCGTACATTATACAGAATAAAGAGTCATACGGGGAAACAAAGTCTTCATATCACGCTTACTACGATACATGTAAACGAGCCTATAGCATTTCTATTCTTTAGCAAGAATATTCATATAGATTATTGAATACAAATCCAGTGATTTATATTCTTGATTTTAATCAGTTATCAATATAGGTAGATCATCAAGCGGACACTGATGCTGGCAGTCTGGCGTTAAAGGTACATTAGCTCTATAGCTACTGCTTCTCACTAGAACACGTCATGTATTTTTCGCAAAGCAAGTCTTACATAATATATACATAAATATTTGGTTTCTTAATATTTATTCAATTTCAAAACGGTTCTTATCATCAACACCAGTCTAAATATTATTTTATGATAGTTTTCTTTAAAATGTCCATAACCTTTAAGTAGTAAGACTATTATAATAAACAACAATAAATTCTTTTATCTAAAGTAACTTGACTATTTCGTTAAAGCATATGTACAACATGTGAATTACACTTTTTCTGTTGGAAGCCGAAATGTAGTTAAGAATTTTCTTGATCATTAAAATGTCGATGTCTAATCGGGATTAATGGAAAGTAATTAGAACCAACCTAATCGTTCTATTATAGAATATATATTATAGAACTGTATAGAATTTAGCCCTACACAACTTAATTTTACTCTACCTATACAAAATTGTGTCGTTTAACCTCATACAAAATATATACTCTAACGACAAGTGAATGAATATGCATTCGACTGATTAGTTCCATTTAATACCTGTATTACTCATTTAAGAAATTTTGCTGTAAATTTTAAAAAATCTAGCTTTAAATTATATGAGATTAGTTACAGCTTCTAGATAACAAATAACTTTAAAAGTGACCATATCTACCCTAGCTCACTTTGTATACAGTTGAAGGGAAAAAGAAGCAAATAATACAAAAAAAACAAACAAGTTAAGGTTTTCGAACAAAATTAGCTATCTAGTGTTAAGTTTTCAAACCGCCATGAATTCACCCTTATAATGTAAAAATAACTCAAATTTTATTGAATAGCAAAGTCATGTGCGTCTGACTCATGCACTCATTTAACCGGTTCCAATGAATTATTATTATTTCTTAAATAGCATTGGCATTTCAAAGTTATTCATTATATTTTCAAGGGATTTTTTGTTGTTTCTATGCTTAATTATTAATAATAGTAATAAATATGTGTTTATTTAGTTATTTAAACAGCATAAACAACAAACTTTAGTCAGTATATAAGATTTGGCAAAATTAGATAAAGCGTAAAATGATATTATCAGACTAAAAATATATTTTGTATATTAGTTATTTTTGGCGTGATATACTTTCTTGTATTAAAAGGCTTATAATAGATAAGTGTACAGACCAAATCAAATCATACATAACAAGATATAAATAAATGTTGAACTATGAATTCATCTAAATTTTTTTGTTTGTATTTTAAACCAAAATACTCATTGAGACATAAGTAGTTGAATAGATATGTATTCTTTCAATGATTTCATTATAATAATTTCAATTACATAATGAAGATAAAAATGCATCCATTAAGTTTGAGGTGTTTCAAATTCATTGTGATGATGAATTTTTTAGCTTCAATTGAATAATTAGTTTTTACAATATTTTCTATTATTAGATTCCTTATATGCCAACCTATCGCGCATTTTTAATTTTTATCCGCTCCAAGTGAGTTCAAGAATACTCTCATCCGTGGTTGTGTAGGGGCAACACCTCATATAAACGAAGTACACAAATAGAAAAATCATTAAACATTATTCATTCGATTGAGTCAAACTAAACATTCGTAACAACCTATGTAGTGGATACGCAACTATTGGAACCAGAGAATTTCTTTTTCTCTTCCCCCATGATAATAATAATATAATAATAATATTAATAATAATCACCCTATTCAGCACCTAAATTTGATTAAAGTGGATAGCTTGCAGCACAAATCATGCAATATCCTAACTTATATTTACTGAACTTCACTTCCGCAATATCATGGTAAACAGTTTAGTTCTGTAACTATGATTCTTTGTCTAGTCTCTATGCCAGTTTTGAATTATCATTTGAGGTCCTGTAGCAGTCACGTAGCTATCCTTTACACACATATAATACCTATTGTGTTTTTACTAATTTGTTATCCTGATCGAGCCATTATTATCAAATATATGTTATTATTTTAAAGTTGTAAATATATTTGCGAATGCAGAACCTCAATATTTAGATCCCCAGAAAGCTATGTTTCTTTCCTAAACCATGCTATCTTGTTTAAAATTCCATTTTTGAGTAACAAAACTCCATTAGGAGACAAAAATAGATTTATCTCATTTTTTCAATGGATATAATCTGTTGGTTTGGTAGTTTGGGGTAAATTTGCATTTTAAAATGCAGAATTAGTTGATGATAGACCACACTGTTTCTCACATTAGAACCAAATCATTACTAGTTAAGACCAAAGAAGATACGTTTAATATTCTTCGTCTTTGTTTAAACCCCCACGAGGAGTAACAGGCGTAAGTAAGTCTTTGTTTGAGACAAAATCAGTCGGCTCCATTTGATTATAAGTTAACTTGGGCAAAACTTTATTTATTACCTAAAGACATCTGAGATCAAGATATTCTACACCATCAATTAAAATGGAGGTAGTTCATAAAATATATATAGATTTCAAGTGAACTTGAGTTTTTAACATGCCAAAACCCCATAGAGAATTGTATTTATCAGTTTTATGTCCAGACCATTAGATGAAGTAATAACACGTGAGCATAATGCTGTGACTTTATTTGGCGATTAGCCCTCAAATCCTGTTGATAATGTTATTATTCATATTTTTAAAGCATTTAGTTAGGGTATGATGGTTACATTTGGTCTACTGTATTATCAGTGATCATTATTTATGAATTACAAAGCAATTAAGAGAAAGTAAATGACTGGTGTTAAAGATATTTCAAAGGCTACAAAATGTGATACTAATATCATTGTGACTGAAAGACTATTTTTCAATGGATTCTCTATTTTGGTTTTATTTTAAACCTCACAACTTGTTAAACTGAGCATCATTTAGTGAATAAATAGGAGGACAAAAACTTGTCTTCTGCTCTGAACTGCATTAATACACATTTTAACTTAGTCTATACTATTACATAAAAAATGTTAGTTATTATCACTTGAAAATGTACATCCGTGGCTAATGACTTCGGTAGATCCATGGAACAACTGAACGTAAAATAACAACATACTATTATCTGGGAGTCTTAATAATAGCTTTGGTGTTGACTTCACCTGAAAAGTATTTTTTACGGGATGTATAAATAAACAATTTATGGGGGATTATTTTCTTTTTACTTGTAAATGTTGTATATATATAAAGTTCCATACTACAAAGCATAAAAGCAGAGTGTAAAATGTAAATGTACTCACTGCTTTTGTTAGTCATAACAGCTCATTACTATAGCCTGAAAGCAATGATTTTAGGAAAAATAGTAGGTAGCGTTTACGTTCGTATGATTATTGTTGAATATCGTTTGTCTTCAAGCAGACAGAGTGATAGGTACGAACCTAGGTTGTAAAGTATCACTATTGGCCAGATAAGTACTTCAAAAGGACCCACTTGCCGGGAGTTTCAAAAGCAATGTCTTTGTTAAAGCTCAGAAGAGAATACAAAACATATATGGGTCTTTCATATCTACAAAGCGAGAGCTTTCTATTAAACTAACGATAATTAATGAGAAACGACACAGTTTCAAAGAAATGTACTCGAACGACGACCATATTTCTGGGCAAACGCTGAAGAGATCCCTTAACTAGCATCTCATGAACTCTTGTCAATAATCAGGTGGGAAATACATATAATTTATTTTGATTTGTAATTTTAGAGAACAGAACAATCATGATACACATTTCTGACACTAAAGAATACACCTATGTCGAATAAGAAAGAACCAACACGCTAACATCTGGCGCAATGGATACATCAACAATAATCAGCCTACAGAAGTTTATTAGGCTTCCGACTCACTAATAACTAAAACTACATAGACGGTTTATTTTCAAAATATGCGATGTTAAGGTCAACGACTTCTCTAAGACCTTGTAAAAAGAAAACACACCATTTAATGAGACGATCTAACAATGCAGCGAAAAATGAATAAATAACAGGTTAATTTTTGAGTTAAGTTTAAATTATCACTGATGAAACAGTGATAACTTTCCAACGTTCACTACCAGTCCATACAGAGATGTGCGATGACACGTTATGAGATATTTTTATATTACTTTATGTAAATTAGATCATTTAAACAGTAGTCTCGTTAAAAATACTTTTGTATATGTGGTGTTGAGAATAATAACGGACGTTTTGGACACTATTTTTAGTGAGTACATTCCTAAATACATCTTTTTCAGATTTTCACTTTCAACAAATCTTTTATGGAAACCTCCAAATAGGAATCAGCAGAGAATAAATAGATTTCACGAAAAACATCAATGATTCGAATTTATTATAAACCAAAACAAACTTCATGTTATTAAGAGTGAAACCTTCAAGATTTACCTGCGTTCCCTTTTACTTCGACCGAGAAATTGTGGTCTTTAACGTGTAAAGTTTGGTTTTGAAGTCCATTTAAGTCCACATTTATTGGAGCCAGTGATTCATCAAGCCTCATTGACATTGTGTTTAAGTTGATTGGGGATTGCTTTGTTCCTCCAGCATTAGGAAAGCGTAACACCCATGTATGAGGGCCTTAACATGTATTTATAGTAAAACTTTTTTTACCATTTTTCTCTCCATAGTCATATGACATCTTTTGTGCTTAACGTGCGAGACGTTTTCGGGGAACGAAAAGCCATACTAACCTATAGCTTATTAAATACGTCCAAAATGACCTTGTAATAAAAATAGCTGACTAAAACACAACAGGGGTTATTCTCATTTCGGCATGAAGAATACGTTAAGCTATGGGTTCTTTTGCCCATGTCAAGTGTTATCGAGTATTTTGAATATCTCTGTTTATAAGCTGTGAACAGCATTTTTTGTCGCCACTTGTCAATTTTCGTGTTTGTGCTTATTACATAGCTTTAAACCCAGTTTATTAGTATTTTGATATAGTTACTGTTAGCTATCTGGGTGGATGATAAATCAGGTTTGATGTGGCTATTTGTACTGGTCTGAATTCAAGTAAGTGAAGTGCACTAACTGACACTGATAGCCGGGCACTAACATGGTAATCGTCACAAACAGTTACGCATTAAAACTATCGGTATGCCTCCCATGAAATTACAATGAAGACAAAAATAACAATCATGCAAGAATTTATTGATACCTCATTACTGATGGTAAAGGATGAACAACATTCGCTGCACAAAAAGAAGTTTACAAGTTCTATGTATAGTTAAGTTAAAGTACAACTGAAAAGATCTTCTTATGGTAAATAGAGTTCCTATCACGTCCCCACACCTTCCTATATTCCGAGATATGATTTCTCCGTAAACCAGACTACACAAAAATAAGCATTGGAGAAACTGGAGTTCTACCAATTTATTGACGATTCTTAACTAATAGTTGTCGACTTTTCTCCCCACAATCATCACGAACTGCTTACCATACTTATCCACAATCTGTTGTTAGTTTATTTCCTGGTTTTTTAAAATCTATACCTACTGTGTCTTTAGCGTGGAGAACGAAACGGTTCTGTTAGTATATATATGTGCTTTCTATCTTCCATCGACTACAGTGTCTAAGAATATGAATAACTATGGGGTTTATACTTCTTAATTGGTTGAAATTACCTTTTAGAGTTCATTTTCTTATGTATGCCAGAAGCACATGAAAACAGTATACTGGGATATAACACACATTGAACAGTCACACTCATAAAAGCTTACATCTACCTTATTAGGCCTGCTGCAATCAGTTATAAACATCCAATCATTGTCTTTATATTCCAAATAGAAAAAGCACAACCTTTTCAATTTTGTTAAAACCTCCCTCCATGCAAAAATATCAAGTTGGCTAACTATTTGAAGTACTCGTAGCACCTACCGGCCCTAACATGTCTTCACCACTTACTCTTACCGATGTTATGGTATTCCATCGGAATAACTTGTACATAAATTTCTGCAAACTATCATTTTTCCGTACATATCTTTTTTGATGGTTCAATGACTTCACACAATTATTGGTGTTGTTAACAAAAGTCAAAACATATGCACTGAACGCTGCGGCCGACATTGTTTTACAAGACATACAATACCTAGAAACATACTATCCGATTCGCATGACCGTTTGGTAAATCATTTTAAAACACTGATTTACTCTACAAAATAAATAAGTTTCAAGCAATCATCCCAACAGTTTCGGCGGTTATTATTTCTCTGAAGTAATTGCTTACTTACGCCTGTTATCCCTCATGAGGGAGCATGGGCCACCCACCAGCTTCCCCGATCCAACCCTGTCCTGGACAACCCTTTTCAATTGGTTCTAGTTACTATTCATTCTTTTGATTTCTGCACCCAATTCCCGACGCAATATGTTCCATGGTCTTTCTCTTCCCCTTCAAGATTCCAAGTTAGCGTTTGCCTCGTGATGCAGTTTGGTGATTTAGGTAATATATGTCCTATCTACTTCCAACGCCTTTTTACTTTCCTCTAGAGCTGGAAGTTGGGTTGTTCTAGCCCACAGTAGGCTGTTGCTGATGGTGTCTGGTCAACGGATAGTGTGTATCTTGCGCAGACAATTGTTCATAAATACCTCTACCTTTTTGGTGATGCTTGAGGTAGTTCTCCACTCTTCAGCCTTATATAGTAGGGCTGTCTTGATGTTCGTATCAAAGATTCTGAATTTGATTTTGGTTGAGAGTTGTTTTGAGTTCCACGTGTCCTTGAACTGTAGGCATGTGGCTCTTGCTTTGCCAATCCTCACGTTTACCTCTACATTCGATCCCCCTTGTTCATCGATCGTTTTGCCCAGGTACGTAAACGTTTCCACCGCTTTTACAGCTTCACCGTCAAGTGTGACTGGGTTGGTGTTCTGTTTCAGGATCTTGCTTTTTCCCTTTTGTATGATAGGGCCTGCTGATGCAGAGGCTGCTGATGTACTATTTATCTTGACCTGCATTTGTCTATGTGTATGGGATAAAAGTGTCAGGTAGTCTTTGAAGTCCAAATCACTTACTGGCATCCAACCTGTCCATATTATTACATAATTCCCCTTAGATGTGGAGGTCTTCATAACCCATTCAACCACCAGAAGAAAGAGAAACGAGGAGAGTAAGCAACTTTGTCTGACACCGGTCGTCGCCTAGAATGTATCTGTCAGCTGTCCTTCATGCAAAACTCTGCAGCGCAGTCCGTCGTATGAATTCCGTATGATACTGAAGATCTTATGTGTAAAGTAGTGCCAAAGAACGTTCCACAATGTTCTTCTATCCAGCTGTCAAATGTATTCTGACAGTCAAGGAAGTCGGTGCATAGTGACGAATTCCATTGAAATGATCGCTTAACAATGATATGTAACAACTTGGGTTTATTATTTAAGAGTTGACCTCAAACAACCAAGTATATGTCAAAACAATAAAGCTCAAGTATTCATTCAGTTTCTTATTTCGTATAGGCATTACATTCCCTGTTATCTTATATCGAATGTTGAAAATCTTTGTGCATCTGAACAGGTTGTAAGATTGATTTTGAATGTTTTGTGTGTGGAAATCCCTCCACGTATACACTTGTAGTTTGTTCCTATTGATTTCTTTAGTTGTACATTTTGTTAGTCTTTTTGATTTTATTTGAAATGTTAATATTTGTATTTTATTATAAATTTTATTTTTCTTACGCCTTCACTAAGTTTCCATGTTCCTTCTTGAACTTCATTTATGTTGTTTTACTTGGTGCTAAGTCTTGGCAGCAGCCATATTGGTTTCTTCCTCCTTTTCATTGTGTTGCTTGCACTGACTGGAATTGTGCATTTTTGATTGTGAATTGAAGCACTCTTCCAGAATTAGAAACTCTCTGTGTTATAAAGCAATCAAATATTATCTTTTGAAAGAATCTGTGCGTGGTCTATCCAACCAGGAAATAACAACATTTATTTGTTGTGATTGGTAATTTTCTCGCATCCTTTATCAACCTCCCTATTTGTTGTAATTTAGATTTCATCAATTGAACAATTATTGGTTGGATAGCTGGGTGATCGTATTTGTTTAGATAACAATTTACATTTACATTTATAATGAGTTTCAGAACCGTCATTTCACCCAACCACTGTTTTGGTTTCAACTGGGCAAGGGTGCGTATCTAACCCACCTAGACAGTTACTCTTCAGTCCAAACCTTAGTTTGAATTTAACACAGGTAACCTCCCGCTCCACTGTCATTAGTTAGAGACACAATTTTGATGTTTGCGTCGATTGATCTGCGTTGTGTACATTACTCTATCTATCTGTCTATCTGATGTTGTCTTGAGCTTTTTTAGAATTATTTTGCTTAAAACGAAATTTCTGACCTGTAACTTTGCACCGCTTAATCTGGTATTCGTGTTTGTAGTTATCGTGTATGTAATAGTTGCAATACTTTTGTTGTGCATGTTACATAATAGACCAAAACACGAAATAGGATACAATTCGCGGAAGAAATGCACATCTGAACTTTGAGGGCGAAACATAATAAGGATAAGTGAACATATCCTACATGAGAACAGAAGTAAAAACGTACTGTGTATACAATTTAATATGTATATTTGTGAAACAAAATAAATGGGAATATATGTATTATAAAATGAATTAAAAAATGAGTAATTAATGCAATTATACTGGATGGTAGAATATTAGTTTATGAAGTAATGGTTAAGAATGATGCAATGAAAAGTTTAGTTATTTGCAAAGAATTCCATCAGCCATCAATTATTATGGGTCATATATACGTGTTAAACATGAAAAGAACTTGAAAACTTAATCGGTTTTGGTGTAAAACAACATACTGTGTTTTTATTAATAAAATTTAGATAGGTAAATGTGAGACATACATTGAGGTGAAAGTGAGAGAAAAAATAATTTAAAGTCCTAAAAGGTCAACGACAATGATGCTATGGTTTACACTGACGCATAATTTCCAAATCATTTTCAGAAAATTGCCTCGAAGATGATTAATTCAGTTAGCAACATAATATACACTTTCGTAAGTTCACTTAAGGAAGAGAGGAATGGAGCACAATTACTCCTAGTCCCAACACTGATAGAAGAAAACAGAAAGGTCTGTGGTAAAGGAAACACAAGCTATATAAAATTGCATCCCCAATATGTATTGTTCATCTTCAAACTGGGAATTTCCGTGATACTTATCAAAAATAGATCTAAACAGTTTGCCACCATCCTGAGCTTTCTGCTTATAGCCTCGTACTAGGTAAACTCTATTTCTGACCAAGCATGTATGCAGGTCCGGAATGTGATGTAAAGATATGTTGTCACTCTGAGCTAAAGCTATCCAAATAATTTCTATGCTTGTCTCCTTACCATGGTTGCAATATCATAAATGCTTACTGGTGCAGCTCTCGATGAATCTCATCGTCCCTTGGCTTAATTTATTTCTTGAAGCGATCTCTCTTGGGTTTAAATGTCATTAAGATATGCTGCACTGACATAACATCTCATCCAGAGGTGTGAAGACTGGCATAACGAGAATCAATACGGCCACTGAGGTAACGGTTAGCCCTCTAAGACATCTATCGGATGACATGGTTCTGGTATTCATTAATTAGTCACCTTGAAAATCAATGCTTAACACTGAAAAATTCTTAGATTGCTGTGGTGACAAATATTTCGCATTGGCATTCTTGTGAGTCTCGGCAAATACTCAGAAAGATTAAAATATTTGTAACGCTGCAATATAAAGGTA